CCCCGCCCGACACCCGACCCGCCCAGGCGACTGCCGTCGAGACGGTCGCGGCGTTCCTGCGCGCTTGCGACGCGCGTGCGGCGCGGCGGCAGAAGCGGCGACGGCCGCTCGCCCCGCAAGACGCCGCGCGGCGCTACTACGACCGGTACTACGAGGAGGGCGGGATCGTGCTCCTAGATGCGGAGGACATATCCCCCCATATCTCCCCATATCTCCCCCAGATCTCGAGGCCTAGAAGCGGAACACTGTGCATTCTTGTACTCCAACTCGACGCTCGAGAGGACAACCAATCCGCGGGAGTCCGCCGGAGTCCGCCGTACTCACTGTATCCCGTGTGTACGCGCGATGCTCCGAATACACGGCACTGAGGGACCGTCCTCCCGCCCTGACCTCGGTGTGTCTCATGACGCAGGATCGCGTACCGGCCGCCGCAGCGGCTCTGGCACGAGCCGGACGCCGAGGCTGAGCGCTTCAAGTCGTGGGCGGCATACTACCGCGAGCAGGCTAGCGGAGGGGGGCGGGGCTCTGGTGGCGGCAACTGCAGACGCACCTCACCTCGGCCTCTGTCCGCACCCCCTCTCAGGCCGCCGCCGCCGAGGAGCAGCAGCGCGAGGCGGAGGAGGTGCCGGCTGTGCGGCGCACCAAGAAGAAGAGCTGCGGCAGCAGCGGCCCGAGTGGCGGGGCCTCGGCGCCGCCCGCAGAGGCGGGGCCGGCGCCGATGCCGCAGGCCAAGCCGGAGCAGGGAGGGGGCGAGGCGGAGCACGCACTGCCGGAGGGCTGGCAGAAGGGGGTGACGCCCGACGGGCGCGACTACTTTTACAACGTGGGCACCGGCGCGACGCAGTGGATCCGGCCCAACGACTACTAGCGCAGGCCGTCTGGGGACATCGGGGGGCGAAGTGCTGCGAGGCGAGGCGAGGCGAGGCGAGGCGAGACGCATATTTTGAAAGGGGGTCATGGAGGGCACCGACACGTGCACCTTAGCTCTACAAAAGCGGCGAGGACACCTTCTGCATTGTAGACTAAAAACAAAAGCGGAAGAGTCTCTCGGCACTGGGCTCTGGGGGGATGGCGGGAGACCGGCATGTTGTGCGAGTATATGGGACACGATGTCTCAAATATGAGGGGTTTTGACTCCTACCGGCTCCTGACGCTATCCCTGGCAGCTCTAATGACCAGGATCAGTAGTGCTATGATAGAGGGTGCCCATACTAGCGAAAGAGCTGCCACACTCGCCCGGAACGTCCCCTTCTGGGGCCGGTTCTGCAGCCCGCGAGAGCCGACAGCGGGGCCGTGCCGCGGGTGCCTACTGCCGAGTGCCACAAACACTGCGCCGTCCCGCCATCACCTACAGGCTGTCTTGTGTGATGGTTGGGATGTCCAAACGCCACCATCTTGGCTCTTGCGACCTCAAACCCGCGAGCTGTATGGGTGGTCCTGACGTCGACAGACGCCCGATGACCACGGTGAAGCTGAGCCGGAACGAGTCGACAAGTCTCGTCTGAGCCCGTGGCGGTCGCCGGCTGAGTCGCTGTGCACGGGCCGGTACCTCAGGCGTCACCTCCGCAGCCTCAGGTCTCACACTCCACCACCTCCGCCAGGACGCCGTCGGTGGCACGCTCGGCGGCGAGTTTGTTGCAGCTCCACAGCAAGCGCGGCGTCGAGCCTACTCACTCCAGTTGGATCTGTGCACTCCCTGGGTCCCAGGGAGTGCACAGATCCAGCAAGCGGTGCGTCCCGGCAGCGCGCGCAGGCTGCGGAGCTGCAACAAACTCGAGACACGCTTTTTGGGACATTTTCAGTGTACGTACTTTTAGCTTACTGGGAGAAAAGAGAGAGGGGGTTGTGTTCTCTAGGCCCCTAAGGGCCCTACGCGCGGCGCGAGAGCTCGGAAGCGAGCTTTGCACGGCGATCGAGGATGGCACGGTTCACCCCCTTCACCGAAGCGATGGAGATGCGTTCCGCGTGGTGTGACACAAATGAGAGGCGGGAGTGGGGAGGGTACGCGGTGCGGTCAACGCCCGAGCGTTGAGCCTTGCGCGCAAGGCGGTTGATCTTTGCAACTGCTGGCGGCGAGAAGCCGCCGCCGAATGTCTCGTGGAGAAGCAGGTTGAACTTGTTGCGTTTGGTGAAGATCCCATCATGGTAGTGGCCACGCTGTGACTTGACGTAGCCTTGGCCGGTGGTGTGGTCGAACGCCCGTTGACCACGGAACCCGCGTTGCTTGCAGCCCATCTCTCTCTCTCTCAGTGTATGTAGCTCTTACGAACATATTTTCGACGCTTTTGTCCCATATACTCGCACAACATGCCGACCGGAGGACACCTTCTGCATTCCAAATACCACATTAAACTGCACGATGAGAGAGAAGAGGGCGGTCCCGAACGGCCAAAAGTCATTCAGGAAGCAGAAGGGAGGCGGGCAGCAATGAGCAGCTCGAGGGGAAGAAACACACTCCCTGCGCCAATCGCAGCGCCGCCTCCTTGCTTGCCTCCTTGATTCGTCTCGGCTGCCTAGTGTCAAAAACGAAAAGAAAACCGCGCCGCCTCGTTTGCCGAGCGCAGACCGCCTCGTTTGGAGAGCACGGAGCTTGCATTAATGGGACGCTGCTGAATCAAGAGGGGAATCCGCCTCGTTCTGCGACAGAAAACAAGGCCGTGAAATAGACACGCTGCCAACCCGAGCACTTCGCGCGAGCCGCCTGCGACCAACTTGGCTCCTCGTTGCCTGCCTCCTCGTCGCGGCGACGACCCGGGTACGCTCGTCCGCCCGCCCATCCTCTCACTCGCCTTGCGCACGTCAGCTTACATTGTTTGATAGCGCTCAACACTGCCTCTCGCTAAACGCTTGCCATCGTCGCTTGTGCTCCATCTCAGCTAACATCGTCAGTGTCTCCCTGCGGCAGCCCGCCCTTGCGCCGCCACCTTTTTGAGACGAACGAGCCCTTCACTGTGATTCGAGTACTTATGCCTCGCAGGTCTACTGTGATGGACGTGTACTCTGTGTGTGCCTCGATCCAGCCGTACAAGCGCGGCGTGATCAGCTTGCTCCTGCTACTCTCCGTCCTCCCGACCGCTTCAGCCAATAACCCGTCCTCATGCGCCGATATCTACTCGAGTGGGTCGACAACGAGCGGCGGCTATGTGCTGCGTCCGCGCGGCGGCAAAGCCTCGACCGATGTCGACGTCACCGTCTACTGCGACATGAGCACAACGCCGCCCGGCCAGAGCCTCTTTGACATTCCGACGGGCACGATGGCGTTCACCGGCTCGCCAACCTGCTCGATGAACTGGGCCAACGACGACTGCGACAACACGTACATGTGGGTGGACTACTCTGGGCGCGTCAAGGCAAACAATCCTTCCGACACGAACACGATGACTTGGTTTGATATCCCGCGCACCTCATACCCGTCGGCGGTCTCCGACCAGTCGTACATTTGGGGCACGAAGTCGACCTCGGATGCAGATTACCCGTCGTCGCATGCGAGCTCGATGGGAGCGTACGCGAAGCCTGTACCCTTCCCTGGCTCGGGCCACGTCGGTGGCACCGTGGTGTGGTTTGGAGCGAGTGGCATGTACTTCAAGGCGGATGGCGTCGACCACTCGCTCGCATACCCATCCTCGACGTCGTCGTGCCGTCCCGAAACCAGCACAAATTACAACACCAACGTATTCATCACCGATGGCGTGAATACGGTGAGCCTGCTGCGGCGCTCGGGCGGCACTATCAGCTGCCTGACTGTGCTCACCTTCGATTGGACGGCATCAACGTACTCCGACTCGATGATCACCGCGACGACGAGCGCCACGTCAGGAGTCACTGTACCTGCAAGCTGGCACGACACGGAGGAGGATTCGATGGGCGGTGACGTGCTGTGGACCGTGCGCGGCAAGCCCTGCTGGTACTCAAACATGCAGCTCAACCTCGGCGCGAGCATGCAGCAGCCCTTCTACGCAACAGTAGCAAACACCGTCAACATCCCAAGCGGAGGCAATGGCATGACGCAGCACGGCCTGGACATCTTTTTCAAGGTGGACACGACTGGGACGCTGCACGTTGCCGACTGGGGCCACGACAATGGCGGTATGTTCGGCTGCGGCGACGACAATCAGCTTGGCTCCATGGAGACCACGATCAAGCTGGTTACCCCGTCGGCGTGGCCACCGCCACCGCCGCCACCGCCGCCATCGCCACCCCCATCTCCGCCGCCACCGTCGCCACCACCACTCTTGCCGCCACTGCCATCACCGCCTCCACCCTCGCCGCCCCCCCCATCGCCGCCGCCCCCATCGCCGCCTCCGCCCTCACCGCCACCACCCTCGCCGCCTCCGCCGTCACCGCCGCCACCCTCGCCGCCTCCGCCTTCGCCGCCTCCGCCTTCGCCGCCGCCACCCTCGCCGCCGCCACCGTCGCCGCCTCCGCCCTCACCGCCTCCGCCGTCGCCGCCACCGCCCTCGCCGCCTCCGCCTTCGCCGCCGCCCTCGCTGCCGCCCTCGCCGCCATCTCCACCGTCGACGCCGCCCCGCGTCCTCTGCGACGACACGTGCCTGGGAGCGCCCCACTACGCCAACGACAATCACTGCGACGACGGTGGAGACGGCAGTCTGACATCCTCCTGCGACTTTGGAACGGACTGCTCCGACTGCGGGCCGCGCGACATCCTCCCGCCCAGCCCGCCCCCTCCACCGTACCTCCCGGCACCGCCTCGCACGCCGCCGGCAGAGTCCAGCGAGCTGCTTCTCCCCGCTGGAGCACGCCTCAGCTCTCAGGCCGCCCCAGACACGCCGGCATCCGCGTGCGTCGACGGCGTCCCTAGCCTCACCGACGCCCCTCCGGCCGAGGCTCTGCAGTATTGCCAGTCGGCGGCGACCAACGAATCCGCCCCCGAGCTCACCATCGACTTGGGTGGTGCGCAGAAGCTGCGGTATGTCGCTGTCATCGCCGGCTCCTCGCCGCGGGGCGTGCCAGACACATACGAAGTTTGGGCGGGCACACGCGACGCGCCCTACAGCTTCCAGTGCGCGGACGTCCTCACCGAGCCTTCCGCGCCCTTGCGTCGACTGTGGGCGCGCTGCGCAGCCGAGGTCGCCGACACACTGACGCTTCGCCCAGGCGGCAGCACTTCGATGCTCAGCTTGGCAGAGGTCTACGTCTTCGGCTCAGAGATTCCTGCTCCCTCAGCGCCACCAGCTCCACTCGCCCCTCCGCCGCCGCCACCGCCATCGCCATCACCACCGCCACCTACGTCGCCGCCGCAGCCGCCCCCGTCGCCTCCACCGCCGCCTCCACCCCCTCCGCCCCCGTCCGCGCCGCCTCGCACTCCGCCATCGCCGGCACCCCCGCCATCGCTACCACCGTCGCCGCCGCCGACGCCGCCCCCGCCCCCCTCGTCGCCGTCACCCAGCTTCCCGCCAGATGTGCCCGTCGGGCTCCCCCAGCGTCCACCACCGCCGCCCTCGCCGCCGCCACCCGCATCGCCGCCGCCCCTTCCCCCCTCGCCGGCCGCGCCACCGCCGCTGCCTCCATCGCCGCCACGGCCTCCTCCAGCAGTGCCGCCCTCGCCGCCACCCCCGCCACCCCCGAGTCCCTCCGAGCCGCCGTTGCCGCCAAGCCCCCCACCTCCGCCATCGCCCCCGCCGCCATCGCCCCCGCCTTCTCCACCTCCCGCCCAGCCGGGCTGCGGGCGAGACTGTGGTAGCGCGAACGACGGGGTCTGCGACGACGGCGGCGAGGGGAGCGTGTACGCGGTGTGCACCTACGGCGAGGACTGCCAGGACTGCGGCCCGCGCACGCTCTCGCCGCCGCCGATGCCAAGCCCTTCGGTTCAGCCCCCTCCGCCCGCCCCGCCGCCGTCGCCGCCACTTC